AATTTTAGTGGGTGCTTCATTTGGCATCCACTTTTTGATGTTCTCCTGTTGCTGATTCTGAAACTAACACAAGCATGTGTGCTTTTTTCCATGCCTCCATCTCAAGCATGTCTGGGTATGTTGTTATACTTCTCCTTAGGCATCACTGAATTTTGTAATATCTCTTTGTCAGGGATCTAAATACTGTATGTAAATCTTTAAGGAAGAGAGACTTGCATCACAAAGTTCAGATGAAGCTTTCTGCAAATTGTTGAAGTTGGAGTTTCAGTTTCCTGGGTTTTCTACTCCTTGTAAAATGCACACAAAGGTTTTTCCCCACACAGCCCACTTATGTTTTCAACCACAGATACTATGAATGGTTGCTGCCACTGAAGGGTTGGAATCTTCTTTGGAGTACATGCTGTTCATTCTCTTTGTAGCATAGTTCTTGGAAGCAGTATGCAGTGTCCATGATAATGAGCGCATGGAAATGTTTGTTACGGAAAACAAATGGAAAAAACAGCTGGAACACTGCCCATTGTTTTTGCAGTTAACAAAGCAACATGGAGGAGAAATAAGGTGTGATTTCACAATTGCTCTGTGCTGCTCCCCTCCATTGCTCATACTTTTTCCCTCCTTGTCTCAGCAGTGCTTCAAAGACAGGCTTACCGCTTCTGTACTAGTGAGGGCACTTGGTTGTTGAAGGAGAATTCGACCCTGCCCTGGAGGAACCTTTCTGAATGTGAGGCAGCTGACAGGGTAAGGGGAACTGCCTTTGTTGTTAAAGCACTAATAAGTAATCCCACATTTTCATATTGCAGTCATCTTTAGCAACCCATTCTCCAAACTATTGGGGCAAAAACCATATTTTTCTTTTCCTGTGCTATTAATAACTGCTTAAATTATAAAAGTGAACTGAACTGTAAAAAAAAAAAAAAAAAAAAAGGAATACTTTTCAGCATTTATGTTTTGGTTTGTTTAGGTTTTTTTAAACCTCTGCTCAAAATGAGCAGTAAAATTAGAGGGTCGGATTCACCCCCAGGTCTTCCCCGAATGCCATTAAATCCTTTTAAAAGTGCCATGGGATGCTGCACAATATTAGCACTATTAGGTATGCCAAATACCTATGTGTGATCGCAAGATAAACCTAGAGGTTTCAAACAGGAACCCATAGCATCAAAACCATTCTGACTTGTTGGGGCTTTCTGAGTTTTTTGCAACAAAAGAATTGTTCTAGTATTTTTCTTCAGTCAGAAAAAGATTGGGAGCCAAAACCTGGCATTTTCTGAGGGCTGCCTTGAGTCTTAAGAAGGTTGAAACCCACTGCTGTAGTCTATGCAGAGAACACTTGGTACCCTACAGAACGAAGTCTTTCTCCTCTTACTTACTGAGTGAATAGTCCCTGTCCTAAGGAGTTGTGTTCTAATACAGATCAGTTCAGGTGCATTACAACCACCTGGGAGTACCTGTTCCCTCAGGATTCCCTTCTCTGCAGTGCTTACAGTCCTTCAGAGGAAGCAGGACAAGTGCTTGGGGTACAGAAGTGCCTTGGGGGAGAAGCAAGATGTTCTAAACTTTGTCAGCTGTGTTGAATTCAAGTTATTTCCATCTTGCAGCCTCGGTCTTTATCCCACTAATTCCGAACACCGTGATATCCCAGCAGAGAGCATTATCCTAACACAAACTGTCTGCCTGCTCATTTATTCCTACTTGCTGTTTTAAGGTTTCTTTTGCAACTGTTGAGAGCTGCCAGGGAAACAGATGCCTAATTACAACATTTGGTCAGTTGGCACATGTTTCATTTCAGTGAAATACAGTGCTTGGGGGAGCAATGATTTTAAGCCCTAAATACACTGTTACGCTACCTGAAATGTGAATGACTTGCCATGTTTATTTCTATTTTTCCATTTTAGCTTGTTTATAGCTCCTAATTGCTTGCTTTTTGGTTTGTTTATGCATCAAAACACAAGGGGCTTGTTTTACATAAAAGTTGCTGTGTGCTGTGCTGTAGTCATCTTCAAAATGCAAAGCCAGTGAGAGAATTATTGCTAAAGAAAATAATTTTCTTTAAGTATTAAATTTAATTTTGGTCTGTATTGAATTTTTGTCTGTATTAGTAGGCCATCTGGGCTTTGACTGTAAAGGAGTCTTTCTCACTCTCTCTCATTAACAGGTTTCACATGCTTTCTTATTAGAAGCTTTTTTAAAAACAATTTTTAATGACAGCATCAGCACTCAGCCTGAATCATTACACACAGCACAATGCACCTTTGAATAGTTTTATTTGTAGCTGAAATGTGGAGACATGCCTCACTGTTTCCCATGCAGTACGTCCTGAATGAAGAGTAATATAGCCTCCTTAGCATGGCACTGTATCCATGGCTACTTAGCCGGCTCGCAGTGCTGTGATAAGGTTGCAATTCTGGCTCCAAAAGTAACATGGATGGAGCAGTGCAGTACTACCTGGCATAGACAGGTAGCGACAGAGACATGCCAAAGAGCCTAGCTTTAAGTAGCCACATTTGGAAATGTTATGTTTGCTACAACAGAGTTGATATATTAAGATGTTTGTCAGTTCTTCCTATCTAAGGCTATATACACACATTCAAATAATCTGGGAGAATTCCTCCAGGTTTGTTCTCCTGGTAGAAAAACGTATTCAGAGCTGTGCATACAAGCAATCAAATGCTGAAGTGATGACACTGCAGCTGGGGGGAGCGGGGATCTGTGCACACATCTCAGTGTTCTCTGTGGGTTCACTTAATCTTCCTGGTGACAGATGGAAGTAGTGCATAAGGCAGCCCTGATTGGGTGACCTTGGTCAGCCTGCATTTCCTTGAAGCATAATGTGGGGATTGTGATAGGGAGACATGTTCTGCTCCTTGCTAAAGCAGAACATGGAGGGGAGGGGAATGCTGGAGGACTGTGTTGGCTTCTGAAATAATCGACAGCATGTACATCCACACTCTCCCAGGAGAAACTCTCCTGGGAGTGGTAACCACCCTAGTTCCCAGGCTATTTTTCTCCTGGAGTGGACATTTTTCTGAGAAAAAGCCTGCACATCTGTACACTTATGATTTCTCTTGGGAGAGGAGTGATTTGCCCAGGAAAACTGAATGTCAGTATGAGGCCCAAGTGTCCATTCAGCATCCTTTGGCTTAGGGTCACTTGCCTCACCCACTCTCTCCAATTCTGTTAGCTTTCTGGCATTCTGAGAAGGGCTCAGGAAGTTGATTTAGATTTTTTGGGTGTTCTGGGAGTATGAAAGCTGGAAGACTGTTTAGTAATCAGCATATATATGTACCTGAGCACTTAAAGGGATGGATTGCTAGTAGGATTATAAGAGATGGCTTAGAGGGAGGTTGCTAGGGAAATAGGAAAAGGCCAATTGGATCACTTAATGATGTCTTTTCTTTTCTTGTATGCTCTCAGGATGCGCCAGAGGAACAGCTTCTATACCTGTCAGTCATATACACTACTGGATATGCTCTTTCCTTCTCTGCCCTTGTAATAGCAACTGCTATTCTTCTTGGATTCAGGTAACTAAGGTGCAGTTCAAAATGAGTGAGTGTGGGTGAAATAGCATCAGGCTTTGACCAAAACATTTGACTTCTCCTTCCAGGCATCTCATTCTGATCCTTCCATTTTCTTTTCACCTTACTCCCCATCATCATCATTTCCTCTCCAAAAATGATTTAGCCTATAAACTACTAAACTATACTAAACAGAGGGGATTGGAACAGCTTTGACTAAATGGAATTTTGCTGGAATATACTACTTCATCAAAGCGATAATGTTTTGCAGAGATGGATCAATTCCAACACTGATTCTCTCCTATTTTGTAGCTTAGAAGTTGGGGTGATAGGGTAGGATGAGAGACCCAGCATCCAGCCTTGTGCTGTATGTAATTTCAGAATGATCTGAAATCCCTCAGTGATCTGGGCTGAAAACCTCAGCTCTGAATTAAGTATAGTGGGGACTTCAGCTTGGGTCTCCAACAACCCAAAGCAGGATCCTAACCAGTTTCCAACTCTGTCTTCTTCCCTTTCTCCTGCATGAAAGTTTCAATAAAAAATAGACACTTTGATACGGTTTTTTACTTCGCAGCAGTGCACATGTAGACTCTGACAGGGCTGGCTGGGGCACGGGGTTGCTTCAGTCCAGGGGCTGCCTGCTGGCTAGCCCCACAGTGGAGCATCATCTTGCCCCAGCCAGCCCCCCTGCAGCATGCTGAGCTGGGTTGGAGCAGTCCTGGGGTGGCAGGCTGACCCTTAGGGCCTCTGCCTGTCATAGCTGCTCTGACCCGGCTCAACACGCTGCAGTCCTGGGCACACATTCAAATGCTGCACCCGGGAGCAATAAACTGCAGTGCAATAAGTGCCCAGGTTTATTGCTTTGAATTAATTGTACCTGTAGATGCATCCAGCATCAGCTTGATTTGCATGTTGGAGATCAGGAAGGCATTTTACCCCATGGTCAGATACAGACGGTGGGGTTTTTATCGCCTTTTTCTGTAGCGCAGGAAGAGGGATGGGAACCTAGTCCTCGTCCTTGGATCTCGAGTGCATTTTAACAACACTTGCAGTGGCATGGTTGACAGTCCTTGCCCTACTGCTTTACCTATGGTGGGTTAGGGTGCGATTGGTGTCTTTGGGTAATTGTCCTCAGAATTTTAGGAATAGGTTAGACAAGGAGTAGTATATGATGGTTTAGATGGAGATGATCCTGCCTCACGTAGGGAGTTTGACTCCTTCTAGCTCTACTTTTGTATGATTCCAGAACTTTACTGCTCCGATGGCTAGAAACATTCTTCCACTTTCCAGGCTAAATTTATTCATGGCTGGTCTCTGTTGTTTTGTTCTTGTGCTAGCATTGTCCTTTGGCTCTTTTTTCCCCCCTGTTGTTTATCCCCAAGTGTATTTAAAAACCAAGTTTCCCCTCTCAATCTATGTTTTGCTAGACTGAATAAGCCAAGTGCTTTCAGTATTGCATTGTATTGCTGTGGCAAAAAGCCACCTTGGTTTCTCCCCAAAAATCTCTGCCCTGTGACACTGTGATTTAAATCTCTGTGCTGTGACCATTCAATTAGGATGGGCCCAGCACACAGGGGACCACACCCTCAGCCTGTCTCTTTAGGGAACTTGAGCTGGCTGCATTCCTGAGGGAGGGGG